AATGAGATGCCAAACATGGAGGATGATGGGAGAGGTGAGGTGGAGAGAGAAGCACTGAGGCCACTTGGAGAAGATCACAACATCCAGAAAGTGATCACACCCATTGCTCAAATTATATATATACAAAAAAAATTATATTGGATAGCTGATACAAATTTTTGCTTCAAAGTCTCCTGCCCGTGGGAGGAATGCGGAGATGTGATTACAAAGATGGAAGATTTCAGACTTGTTTCCAACAGCACTGTGTTGCAAAGTGTGTTAAGTGTTTCAAACTTCAGTTCGTAAATATATAGAAACATAGATAATAACTCGCTGGCTATAAAGTGTGTTCCATTGAATCTATTCACACTCCCTGAGGTCGCGCATGAGATGACAAATAATTGTGGCAAGTAGGATCCTAGTGCGCCTCCTTTCGAATTTTCTCGTGTTTCATCTCTTACACGAGTGCTGAAACTGATCCATGTAGCGAGGCTACCTGCATAACCTTCTTATCAAAAATGCTCTGATTCAGTGCACAGCCACTTCCTCAGGGCAATTTCAGTGTTATTATTAGCTTCTCTGCTTATTGATTATCATAGCTATGTTTAATAAAAAATATTAGCATATTATCTAGAGTGGTCGTGCAAGGGAGAAGTATTTTATTTTACAATGAGGCAGTGGTTATTATACTACATATTTTATATATATTTTATTGATATGAAGATTCAAATTCATTTGACATAGTAATATAGCCAGAGTATGGAACCCATCGCAAGTTAACAATCACACCTTTTGTCTGCTAACCTACTCGCTCGCGCCTACCTTTTCTCTTAAAACACGAATGATAATTCTAGCGATATGAATTTTTAGATGATAGCGACGCAGTGCAATAAGAATTAAATTTACATATTTACTGATGTGTTCATGTACTCGCTGGATAATGTAGACCCGTGTGCGATGCTCTCTTCCACTGATCTCTTCGATGTAGATCATGTCATCATTCTGTCGCATAATGCACTCGTCTCACGCTGCGTGGGCTTATATACTCCAACGCTTGCAAATCAATGCTGATGGCTTGTAAGGAGATCGCTCATGCCGATCACTGGCGAGCGTGGTGTTTCTGTGTCTGTGGTTCTCACTCCCAAACTGTCACTCCAGGTAGTTTTTTCGTGTTTTAGAGTTATCAATCTTGGGAAATTTGACAGATTTCAGTAGAGGGACAATAAACTAGTGTTTGAAGGTAGTAGTTAGTGATGACAGTCGACCTGTGTATAAGTGTTATGGGGATGTTATACTAATAGAGAGTCATCTCCTCTCTGTTGGGTCTTATCTATGAATGTGTGAGCTTCGCGAGTGCTGTGTCTCTGTGCGTACGCTTATCTGCTAAATCTCGTTGAGATAGTTATGCATAGACTGTGATGCTTGTGCTAAGCTGTTTACAATATAAACCTACATTTTGCTTGTTTGACCTGCACTAGGAGCATGTGTTGCTGTCAGCTTCATTCTCACATCAGAGTAAGGGACTTTGTCTGAAATCAATACCATCTCGCAATCTACTTGGTAATACAATGGGTGCTTGCGAACTAATCTAGCAAAGGAGACTCGTTTATGGCTAATATATAGTGTTCGTCTGAACTACGCGATAGAGTGAGCTCGCAATGGTCATACCATTTCTAAGAGAATGAAAGCATAGTGAAACGATATCATAGTCGTGAAAGCCCACGATAAATAACAAACAATTTATAGGATTGTGTATACTTGTCTGATACAACTGTAAACATCGGAGTTTTCAATAATTTATTAGAGAATGCATAATTTTTCAATTGTCTAGACTTCACTCGAGAATGCCTTACAGTGGCTGTGTGGTGAGAACCGAGTTTAGCTTCGGTCCATATTCAAACATCGTCTCGCAGCAGTGTCTTGTCGCAGTGGGTAGTCCGCGTGAGTGTGTGGTTGAAGAAGAGGAAGAGATGAGATGATTTGATTTTGAAAATATGGCATACTGAAAGAGGAGGGAAAGCCGTAATGTAAGAACCTAATACAGGCAATATATCTTATAATAGGCTCAAAACAGCCAGCCCCATCACACTTTAAGCTTCCATTTAACAGTATTGGCGGACTTGAAGCCTCTCCTAGGGCTAACGGACACTTCAACAAAACTGGTGGTGGTATATTCCTATAATATAATATATTAAATACACATCTAAAGACTCAATAAATTCTAGATTTTCCTCAGAAGCCTGTGGGTTATATGTTAAGAATATAAGAAAACACGCCGATCTGAGATTATTTAATGTCTCGAGTACAGTAGTATCTTTCGCATACTTGCCTCACACAGACAACTATACTCATGCAGAGTTGTGTGCTTTGTACAAATCCAGCGTCTCGAGGCTATGTACGCGCTGAGTTCCAGTGACAGAAAGCATAGTTTGTTGCCAGCTCTCAATCCCTGCTCAGTTATGAGCCAAACCACTAGCTACTAAGATAGCTGGAAAACCTCATCGAATTTATTAGATTGTACATATCAAGACGGACTAGAAGATGAGTGAGTTCA